CTTCATGTGTCGTGCCTGCTGTAGCTTTGTCTGAGCATGTAAGAACTCCAACGGCTTGTGATCCGAATGCACGACCACCTCCTTCCCTAACAAGTACACCCTCCAATGCTTAATTGCTTGATATAGTGCATAGAACTCCTTGTCGTAGGTTGGGTAGTTCGCAATAGCACCCGAAAACTTCTCAGAATGGTATTCCACCGGTTTCCCATCCTGAATCAACACCGCGCCCATCACATAATTAGACGCGTCGGTCTCTACCTCGAAAGTCCGCTGCAAATTCGGCAATGCCAACACCGGTGCCTCCGAGATCTTTCTTTTTAGCAACTGAAAAGCCTCCTCATGCGTCCTTCCCCACTCGAACTGAACCTTAGCCTTTGTGAGGCCATGTAACGGTGCCGCATAAGTCGAAAAATGTCGAATGAACTTGCGCAAATACTGGCAAGCCCCCATGAAGCTTCTCACTTCAGTCACTGTCTTCGGCGTCGGCCACTTTGTGATCACCGCCACCTTACTCGGATCTATCCTCCTCTGGCCCTTCCCCACGATAAAGCCGAGATACACCAACTCGTCCTTCCCAAACTCGCACTTCTTCCCGTTGAGCTTCAGCTGTCCATCCTGCAACACTCTAAATACTTTCTCCACATGAACAAGATGCTCCTCCCAGGTCCTGCTGTACACCAAGATATCATCAAGGTAAACTATAACAAAATCCTCTATAAAGGGTCGCAACAAATCATTCATAAGCCTCATAAAAGTCGCCGGAGCATTGCATAATCCAAACGGCATCACCAACCACTCGAACAGGCCTTGCTTGGTCTTGAACGCAGTCTTCCAAGTGTCTTCCTCCCGAATCCTCACCTGATGGTAACCAGACTTCAAATCCAGCTTCGTGAAAAACCTCGCTCCCTCCAACTGGTCCATAAGATCATCGATCCGCGGTAATGGGTAGCGATTCTTGATTGTGATCTTGTTGAGTGCCCGATAATCTACGCACATGCGCCAACCTCCATCCTTTTTGGGCACCAACAACACTGGTGACCCGCAAGGCGAACAACTTGGCACAATCACTCCTGTCTCCAAGAGCTCCTGAACTTGCTTCTTGATCTCCTCGGACTCTAGTACTGATGTGCGGTATAGGCCTATGTTAGGTAAGGAACTCTCCCCGGTCAACATAATCTCATACTCTACACCTCGACGTGGTGGTAGTCCCGTGATCTCCGAAAACAAGTCCGCATACTTGACCTTCAACCTGTCAAGATCTCCCTCCTGGCGCTTGCTCAAGGTAGACAAGCACATCCTACTCAGCTGCTCTTCATACGGCCGAATGAACAATAAAACGAACTTCCTGCCCGCGTTCACCAACCTCTTAGCCTGAGTTACTGTCACCAAGCTCGTCTCCTGTGGAAGAGATGCCGAACGAAAAACGAATTGCTCGCCATCCTTGGTGAACGTATACTTTTGGGCTCGCCGATCATATACTGCGTATCTATCCCACAAATAAGGATTGCCCAAAATAACTTGGCAAACATCTAACGGAACCACGTCGCATGTGACCTCGTCAATATACGACTCGTGGAGTGCAAATCTGAATGAACACTGGTTCACTACACTCAATCCCGCCTCCTTCTGAATCCACCCTAATGGATAGGGCTTTGGATGCTTCACCGTCTTCAATCCCAGCTTCTGTACTAATGCCTCAGATATCAGATTTTTCTGACTCCCTGGATCTACAATAGCATCCACTAAGCTGGTCTTGACCTGCAATTTCAGAACAAAGAGCTGCTCCCTCGGGTCGTCATCTTCTACGCCTTTTTCTCCTCCTTCTTCTTCAACCCTTTCGGCTTTAGATGAGGGTACTTATCCCAGCAACGATCAGCCACGTGCCTTGTCTGCTTGCAGTGATTGCATGTCAATCCTGCCTTCCCTGAATCACCCTTCTTCTTCTCTTCCTTATGTTGAGAGCTACTCGACTTGTTTCCCGATTGTTTGGAGTCACCCTTTGTTTCGCTGCCCTTCTTCTGTTTTCCCTCAATGGCAATTGCCTTCACGCTCGCTTCTGCAATCGTCTCGACCGTGAACAGCTTCATCTCCTTACGGATGTAATCATTCAGTCCCGCCATGTACTTCATGAAGATGGAGTACTCGTCCGTTGCGATGTTTAGAACCATCGCCTGCTGCTGGAACTCCGTCGTGTACTCTTGAACGGTCTGATTGAATCTTTGGCGCAAGCCGTACCACTTGTACCAACGTTCTTCAAGGAATCCCACCGGATAGAACTGTTTCCTAAGTAGCTCCTTAAACTTATTCCACGACGCTGCCTTCTTCTCCTGTTTGTAATAGGATTTCCACCACGTCAACGCGTGTCCTGAAAGCTTCAATGTCGCGAACACAATCTTCTCCTTGGATGAATATCCGTAGAGGGTGAAGTACATCTCCATACGCTCAATCCAATCATCGAGCTTTTTTACATTGACACTCCCATCATAGACAGGAATCTCCACCTTGAAATCTATCTTTAAATTTTGGTAATTATTTTTACCCCCTTGATGTCCAGCAGCCCTAACAACCTCGGTTCCCCCGTCCGAATCAGACTTCTCGCTCTCTTCATCGGACTCGATGATTTTCTTCTTACCCTTCGAAGAAGATTCCTCTCTTTTGTCCCCTTTGTTAATGAGACCCACGAGTTGACTGAGCGTCGAACCGATCGTCTCGATCTGCTTCTCCATGGCATCAAGTCTTGTTGAGTTATCTGTTTCAGACATTTTCTCCTTCCTTAACTCTTGGGCTCCTTCCAAGGAAGTAAGGATCTCGCCAAGCTCCTTGTATTGCGAACGAGTCAGGACCATGCACAGGATGCCCCCTTCGTAGGATTTGATTGCTCTGATACCAACTTGATACGAGTTGCCATGCGAGCACCTTTGATCGCGGAATTATCAAAGGTGGGTTGAGGAGAAATAATAAGAATACAAGAATAACTCAGATTTTGGGCGAAGGAAAATACCTCCTCTAGATTATGAGTATGTAAATTACAATCTCTCACAATCTCACTCTAGAATTGAAGAACAAGCTCTCCAAATCTCAATTACAAGTTAATCTCCCTTGATTTAACTCCCTGATCGTTTAGAAACCCTAAAACAATCCCTTATATAGGTGTACAAACGTGGATGGCAATTTGGTAAATAACCAGACCCAAAACCAACAGGAATTCGTGTGAACAGAATCCCAAACGAACCAGGAAATGACTGAGATGAGTCGACTCATGACTGAGATGAGTCGACTCGACAGAAACTGGAGAAATCTCAATAACCAGCGATGAGTCGACTCATGACTGAGATGAGTCGACTCGACAGAAACTGGAGAAATCTCAATAACCAGCGATGAGTCGACTCATGACTGAGATGAGTCGACTCGACAGAAACTAGAGAAATCTCAATAACCAGCGATGAGTCGACTTATGACAGTCATGAGTCGACTCAACCTGATGAGTTGACTCATAACAGTCATGAGTCGACTCACAGGCTGAAAACTGGGTACTTCGATTCTTCTGCTCGTCGTCTTGTTCCACGCTTCCTCCTGTGTTCCCTTATACTGTTTGACACCCCCTATTCCCATGCTAGTATGAGAATCATCTATCCTCAAGCTTCCATGAGGATCGCTAAGTTTCGAAGAGAAGATACACCCGTATCAGTTCTACATATGGACGCGTGCCATGTCTTGTTGAGGCGGCCGTAGCAGTATGATGTTGATGCTAAGCATGGAGACAAGAAGAAGGAATACTCTTTCGTATGGATGAACAAGAAGATTATTTTACCACCAATTCCTGTTGGCCTTTTTGTTTTTATGATGTTTTAACAAACAATTTATAACTAATATTGTTTGTCTAGTGTATGTGTTTTCTTATTTATTCTAGACAAACAATGAGTTAGAGGTTAGACGGAATCGAGCTTTCACGATCATATCCAATGAAGGTTGGCGGAATTATGGTATGAAGCCTTGCAATTCAAGTTGAAGATCTAAGTTCAAGCTTCATCCGCAAAATGTACCAAGTTGAGCTATATCGAAGATCAAGATAGCTTGGGTAATTTAGTTTAGGTTTTATATTATGTGTGTTGGTACTTTAAGCTCAATCATACACACATACACGTTTTTGGTTTTGTATATATATAGTTATATATACATGTTTTGGTTTTATAAGTTTTCAAGTTTAAATATGAAACAATTGAATATAATTGGAAAGTACTTTTTTGTTTCATGTTTATACATGCTTACATATGATTTCATCAATATCAAGTTTATTTTATTCAATGAAATCATGTTTTATTGCATAATATGTGTATTTTGATAAAACATTGTGTTTTTGGTTTATAGACTTAATAACAATAGTTTATATCTCTTATAAAGTCTATATAATCATTTTATAAAGTTTCAAAACATGGTTTAGTCAAAGCATCAAATTTTAAGTATGTTCATTTTCATGTTTTGGACTATTTTAAAAAATGATGAGATTTGTCAAATGAGAAGTGCTTTTTAAAAAAACCTACGTGTCATGCCCTATAGAAAAGAAATTGCAAGAGAAAAAGGAAAAAAATTATATAGGGGAAATTTCTAAAATATCTTGTTATGCAAGCAGTAGAAATGAAAATACCTTTTTAAACATGAAAAATATCTACTTTCTAACCAAGTGATCAACAGGAAAAAAAGACTTTGATGTTGTGCTATAATTTGCCCCTGCTTTCAAGCTAAGACGAAAGAATTTAGCAAGCAGAACACGATGTCTATAGAGATATTAGTATTAGTGGTTCGGATTAAAAATTATAGTATTAGTGATGTAGTCGGTTCGGACGGTTCAGTTTTAAAAAATTTCAATCCGATCCGAACCGACCTACCAACAAAACCGATCTCAACCGCTAATTTTTGGTCGGTTTTTTCGTCTGAACCGAACCATGCATATCCATTGGGCCGGAACAAGTTCATACCTTAATTTCACAAGCAAAGCCTTCGCAAAAATCTCAGAGAGCGTGGGGGAGAGAGAGATGCCGAGGCCTTCTTCATCTCTTGCTTCCCTCTTGCTCTCCAACTCCCTGCTTCCATCTCTTTGTCGAGCATCATCAGCTCAAAAATCCTTAAAAGCTGCATCTTTTATTCCCTCTTCTGCTCTCTCCACTAATTCTCATGTCAAAACTCGTCGCTTTAACAAGGATCTCTGCCGGGTTTCGAAGACTAAGGAGATTAAAGCTTCTACTCCTCTCTCTTCGAAGCTGAAGGAGGTGGAAGTTCCCAAAGATTCTTCCAGTGGGTAATATTTGAATTTGTTAGTTCTATTTTGGTGCTTCCTCTCTTCTGTGTTTTTGCTTAATTTTGTTTCTGAAGCAGTTTTCACATTTAGTATTGTTGTTTTATATCTGGGTTTTGTTTGTTTTGATGATTTATTGGTGATTCCCCCATTTAATAAATGGGTAGAAAAATAGTTATATTGTTGTTAATTTCATTAATTTCTGTTTTTCGGTTTTTAGTTACTGCAAATTTATGCAATTTTAATTAATATAAAAATTTGTATCTAAGAGCAAGTAAGATTGAGACAAAAGAAGATTATGGACTAGTTATTATCCAGTCATTAGACAAGTGACATTGTGATTGACTGGAAGAGAACCACCCATTTGAATTTGGCAATTGGGCATCCCTACAGTTGATGATCAACAAATAATTTAAAATGGTGAGCTGAGCTTGTAGAGCCTGGTGAACAAAGGTGATAGGATAGAGCTCAATTGCTTGACTCTCTGAAAATTGATGTGGCGTCATGAACCATTGATCATAGTTAGTCATCCATCCAACGAATACAGATAGAAAATGCTGAGACCAAAATCGGCGATAGAGATTGTAACATCCTGTTTTCACCATTCTAATGCTTTGTAACATCCTGTTTTCACCATTCTAATGCATATGGAGCTATCATATTTCAATTTTTAGATTTAAAATAAGAAGTGCCTCAAGTCATTTACAAACTTGAAAAATGAGGATTTGGTTGTCCATATATGAAAGTGTATGGTACAATAATGATGTAGTGGTCTCATAATGGACTTAATTTGTACATAATATTAGTTGGATATGTTAGTCTGACTTGGTCTTGTGTGACCAAATCAACGCTTCTCAAGTGGGGAGAAATGTGAGATATGGGGTTTGTTGAGAGAAAATCTCTCAGAGGCAGTTTGAGGGGGGTGGAGATGATGGGATTTCGGCCTATAAATAGAGGAGTAATCTCCTTGAGAAAAAACAACAAAAAACAAAAGAATAATCAAGCCCCTTACCCATTACCGGAGCCCCCCTTAAAGATGTTCTCTTTCTCCTGTTCTCTGTAAGCTGATCACTGGTATCAGAGCCGCGTTGATCTCAACGCCGTCCTCTTAAACTCTGCTAGGACGATCGGTCGACAACGACGACGCTTCGACAACTCTGCAACGACGATGACAGAGCCGTGCCGATCTCAACGCAGTCGTCTCCATCCTCGGCGATTAAGAGAGATATATTAGCCACCCTTTTTCATTTTGCGTCTAAAACCCTAGCTCGCTGGAGATTTTTTTTTGCCTCGTGACTGAAGCAGTGGGTTTTTGGGCCTTATATTTGCCTCGTTGTTCAGTACTCTGCTTGCTTCCATTTTATTTGTTGCATCAAAGCAAGGCCCACGTTCACCAAGTCACAAGGCCCCTACATTCACCAAGTCATCAAGTCATAAGGCCGATTTTGTTTTTTTTCTTCATTTGTTAAATTCAACACCCACCAGAGAGTTACTTGTTCTATCGACTGGATTCTTTTCAAATACAAGCTACACCAACTCAGATCAGAGAGTTACTTGTTCAATCAACACCGCTAAGTGACAATCTCGCTCAAATTGGAGCCTCTTTCATCAATTCAGAACAATCAGGTTCATTTTAATTCATTTATTTATTGTTTGTCTAATTTTATTCTATAACCGTTTATATACCAACCTTATATATATTTTAATTGAAACTTAGTTTTAGTTCTTTACCGAATGACTAGTGAACTCGTTCTATCAGAACTAGAAAAAATTAACAAATTTAATGACAGTAATTATGATATGTGACATAGAAAAATAGGATATGCTCTTATCCATGATAATATTGATGACGTAATCGAAACCACTGCTCCAACACTTACTGATAAATCAACACCTAAAGAAAAAAATGGTTTGAATAGTGAAAGTCGAAAGATAAAAAGATGAAAAGCCTTATGCTCATGTTCATGAAAGATAACTTAATCAAACTTTTTGAAACTTATAAGACTTCCATGGACATGTGGAATACAATAAAAGAGAAATACGACACCGCCTCTGAAGTTAACATCTAACTACTCTTGCATAAGTATAATTCTTATCGTATACAAGAGGGAGACAATATCATAGAGCATATCACTGCTGGGACCGAAATCCAAGAAAGAATACAACTGGCAACCATTCTAAATAATCTTCCCCCTTCCTTTGCTGTGGCTGCCACCGCATTAAGAATGAATCATGCCATTAAGTCTGTCACTGATCTTCCTATGCACCTAGCGATAGAACATGACTTCATTAAGAATGAATCATGCCATTAAGTCTGTCACTGATCTTCCTATGCACCTAGCGATAGAACATGACTTAATAGCCAGTAGGAACTGCCATTAAGTCTGTCACTGATCTTCCTATGCACCTAGCGATAGAACATGACTTAATAGCCAGTAGGAAAGAATCAGAACTGAATATGGTGCATCAAGAGCTGAATTATGTCCGCTAGAGGCCGCATAATACTGGAAGCTATAAAAACCCTGTTTCTAGCAAACCACAACCGCGAGGACCGAAGTTGCAGTAATTCAAAAAAAAAAAGTACCCCGCGAAGTCTGCTACAATTGTGAAAAGTTCGGACATTTCAAGCCCAATTGCCCACAAGGTGAAAAGCAGGAGAATAAGGAAGGCTATAAGATCCACAACAAGGAGATACTAGCAAAAGAGAATTCGTCGGTGTGACAGAATATAATGTTGTGATGACGGATATCAGTGATTGGTGGATCGATTCCGGTGTGACTAGGCATATCGCAAAGGACCAGAATGAAGTCATAGAATTCACCGAGCTGAAGAAAGAAGAACAAAGAATCTATATGGGAAATAATACCTATCTCGATGTAGAAGATATTAGTTCGTATAGATTGGATCTTGGGGACAGTATTCTTGTCCTTAAAGATGTGTTCTATGCGTCAGGAATACGACACAATCTGATCTCTATTACCAGCTTGATGAAGAAAGGACTGAAAGTTAGGTTCTATAATAACAAGGTTTCTATAGGTAAGAATAATAAAGTATATGCAATGAAAAAATATGTGCCCGAGCATGAATTATGCATTCTTCTAGTAGTTTGTAATAATTCTGATAATAAAATTTTAAATTTGAACTACTTGTATTGTTATATTTCTGAGTCTGAATTGTGGCATTCTAGACTAGAACATGCTAGTATTTCAAAAAAAAAAAAAATTATCAGAATGAACTTGCTTTCTGCACCATCTAATGTTCAATTACCACAATTTGAACATTATTTAACTGGTAAAATGACTAGAAAACCTTTTATTGGCGGACAAAGAACCAATGAACTTTTAGGGTTGATACACTTGGATATTTGTGGTCTCCTAAGTGTCAAAACTCATAGTAATAAAAAATATTTTATTATTTTTATAGATGATTATTCTAAGTTTGCACACGTTTATCTTATATCTAGAAAATTAGAAGCTCTTGACTGTTTTAAGAGATATAAGACAAAAGTTAAAAACCAACTTGGAATAAAAATCAAAATTTTGAGGACTGGGAGGTGGAGAATATAATTCTAAAGAATATGAAAGTTATTGTATTCAACATGGAATTAAAAGACATACAACAATGTCGTATACGCCACAACAGAATGGTGTTGCTGAAAGAAAGAACAAAACATTGTTAAATATAGTTAGATGCATGTTGTCTCACTCTGGTCTCTCTAAAAACTTTTAGGGAGAAGCATTATTAACTGCAAATTACATTTTAAATATAATTCTCACCAAATCAGTTGTATCTGCACCTTGTGAAATATGGAATGAGAGAAAACCTAATTTGAGTCATCTCATGAAGTGGGGATCTATAACCCATGTTCTCATTTCATGTCAACTTAGAGATAAGTTGGATTTTAAAACAATAAAGTGTAGATTCATAGGGTATTCAGAAAAGTCAAAATGTTACATGTTCTATAATAAAGAAAAAGTAGTCATTGAAAGCAAAGATGCTACATTTCTAGAGAATCTAGAGGAAGAGGAACAAGTTCGAGAGGAAACAGAACCTCTAACTGTAATAGATGATGATTATTACAGTGTTGTTCCCACTAATGACCCTGATATTGTGAATGAACCTAACCTTAAAAATGATAAAATACCTATGGAAAATAATGTACCTAATCAACCGGTTATAGGTAACAAAAGGTCAAGAACACAACCTTCATGAATGGATGATTACTATTTGTAGTCATGTGAGCTATCTTGTTTCTCGGTAGATACAAATGTAGAAGAATAAGATCCCTTAAACTTTTCTAATGCGATGAAATCGCATGAATCAGTTTTATGGCTAGAATCTATGAGAGAAGAACTTGATTCTATAGAAAAGAATAAGGTATGGGAGTTATGTGATCTATCAGAAAATAAAAAAGCCATAGGATGCAAATGAGTGTTCAAAAAGAAATATCGTGTTGATGGATCTATTGATAAATTTAAAGCACGGTTAGTTGTCAAGGTTATAACCAGAAGACAGGAATAAATTTTCAGGAGACGTATTCTCCTGTAGCTAAATTTACATCCATTAGAATTATTTTGGCTATTATTACATATCTTGATTTGGAGTTATTTCAAATGGATGTTAAAACAGCATTCCTTAACGGAGAGTTGAAGGAAGCGATATATATGTAACAACCTGAAGGTTTTCAGGTGAAAGGTCAGAAACATAAAGTTTACAAATTAATGAAATCTCTATATGGTTAAAACAATCTTCTAGACAATGGTATCTTAAATTTCATGATGCAGTTACTAAACTTGGTTTTATTCAAAACAAATTAGATAATTGTTTATATATCTTAAAAAGAGGGAGCAAATTTACTATATTAGCATTATATGTGGATGATATATTGCTCGCTGGAAATGACATAGAAATATTGAATAAAATCAAGGCAGATCTTAGCGAAAAGTTTGAGATGAAAGACATAGGAGATGCATCATATATTCTTGGAATTCAAATAATTCGAGATAGAAAGTCTAGAATGCTATGTTTAAACCAAGAAAAATATTTAAGATCAGTTCTTAAAAGGTTTGGAATGGAGAATTCTAATCCGGCACCAACTTCATTGGTTATGAGAAAGAGATTATGTAAAGAGCAAAACCCTAGAGGGGCAGAAGCCATTAGATGTTCTTTATGCCCAAGCAATTGGAAGCTTAATGTATGCAATATTGTGCACCAGACCTGATATAGCTTATGCTATGAGTCTAGTCAGTCGATATCAAAATAATCCAGGATCAACACATTGGAAAACTGTTAAATGGATTATGAAGTACATCAGAGGTACATTGACTCAGATTAGTTTATCAAGCTGATTCGCTTGAACTCCTCGGTTATTCCTATGCTGATTTCGGAGGTGATAAAGATGATGGAAAGTCCATTTTGGGACACTTATTCATCTTTGGAGGATGAACTGTTTCTTAGAGTAGCAAGAAACAAGGGTGTGTTGCTAGATATACGCAAGAAGCTGAATATATAGCTTACAGTATGACAACTACACATGCTGTCTGGATAAGACGGTTTTTGATTGATCTTGATCTTAATTTGTTAGAAGGACCTATTGATATTTATTGTGATAATCAAACAACAATTAGCTTAATCAATAGTGGCGCGAATAGCTCCAAAGAAAAACATATTGAGATCCAGTATCACTATATTTGAGATATTATAGAAAAGGTAGAAGTTAAAGTGACTTATATCCCTACTACAGATATGATTGCTGATCCTTTGACAAAAGGAATAACAACGGAATCTTTTATCAAACATGTAAGTTTGATGGGACTTAGGAATAAATAAGTCCGAGTAAAATTTCATGAATAATGAAATAAGAATGACTCTTTATGAATAGTAGGAGTAATTATAAGAAAAACATTTAATCTCACAGATAATGGGATGCATATCACTTGGTTGATTTGGTCAAGTGAGAGATGTTAGTCTGATTTGGTCTTCTGTGACCAAATCAACGCTTCTCAAGTTGAGAGAAACGTGGGATATGGGGTGTGTTGAGAGAAAATCTCTCAAAGGTAGTTTGAGGGGGATGGAGATGATGAGATTTCGGCCTATAAATAGAGGAGTAATCTCCTTGAGAGAAAACAACGAAAAACAAAAGAATAATCAAACCCCTTACCCATTACCAGAGCCTCCCTCAAAGATATTCTCTTTCTCCTGTTCTCTGTAAGCCGATCACTGATAAATTTGTTAAACATTTATTTTTCATAGCTCTCATCCTTGCATAATCCATATTGAGTAGAGCTATAGAAGAATGGAAAGAAACAAGGAAGAAACCTCTGATAGAAGGACAGTTGGCTAATGAAGTGGCACAATTATTAAGAGTCATGATTAACGTGTTATTAAAACCATTCTTAGGTCAATATAATTCATGCATTACTTTGTAGAACTTTGTTTGAGGTACTAAAAGTCAATCTGAATTTGGTGAATGATGTATGCATAATATGGTGAAGGTTATCAGAGATTGTGTGGTGAATTGTGGAATAATAAATATCTATTATTGATCAAAATATCTGGTTCTGGAAGAATCAGGGAGAAAAGGTCAAGATATGAAGTGACTATAATTAGTCCCTGTTGTAATTAACGGGTTGATGTTTTGGCTAAAATCTTCTCATACTCAAATGGTAACCACAAATTATTAGCCCTTTGTCAATTTCTTTCAACATTCAAATGGTAGGGTACGAAGGCACTCAACTAAAAACCAATCTTTTAACCCAAGAGTTGTCAAATACCGCTCCGTAATTTAGTTCTGAATTGAAATTATTAGAATAAATGTTCTATAAATTATAACAAGTTAAGGCCTCAAATAAGTGTATTCACACAAGTTAGAGATAGAAAAGATTGATCGAGGTTGGGAAAGCCATGTAGAGGTTTCTGTTGAGTTGACTGCTTTTCATGATTATTTTTGATTAAATTTCTTACAATCTCTTTCTAGTCAAAGATCATTTCTCAAATTTTCTTTCTCTTATGCTTCCATTATCTCTATGATATCATGGATGCACAACTTAAAGTCAATTTTTTTTATAGGATAGCAAGAGTTGTATATATGGTGTCAAATTATTATGCTAAATGCTGGAGCGCATTTCCTTCTTTTGGTTATGCTAAAAATATATGAATCTTAAAGACCAAAAGAGAGAAAAATCTGCCTATCAACTGAACTTTACTTTTTGTAGGTACCCTGAATATGATCGCTTGCTTCCAAGTACCTTACAACATAGTCCATATCGGGTTGAACATCTTGTAGTTTCTGAGGGGGGAATTGTTCTTGACTACATTTGTAAAGCTTTGCGTCTTCCTCCTCTGTGAGTATCAATATTTTTTTCTGTTGCATCTAGTGCTATGTGCATATTTGCATACCACATTATATTCAGTATTCAGAAACTGAAGCTACTGATTAATTTCCTTTGTATTTGGAAGCTAGTGAGAGATAACTGCATATAAGCAACTTAAAGGTCTTATCTTTAGTTAGCTGAAAGTTGAATCTGATGATATTAGGAATTTTTTTATGTCATCCATAAGCTTGTGACCTTGTCCTTTGGGTAATTTCATATTTCATGTTACTGCCACTTCTCTTCTAACCATGTCTTTTCCCTTTCAATTAGATATATGTTTAGTTTCTTAATTCTCCAAAGATCTGCATCACTGTTATAAATAGCGGTAAATAGCCCCGTAATAGCGGCGCTAATAGCGTTAGCGGTCCCTTCCCGTGATCTTATTATTCATATCTATCTCTTGCAAGAACTAATTGATCAACATAATTTTAAATTGCTATAAATTAGGATTAGATTAGATTAAGACCCTAATCACCCCCCCTCTAGGGTCTAACAATTGGTATCAGAGCTTGGTGCTCTTTGATTTAAGGACTAACCGCCTTGAGTTAAAGATCCAAGTTATTGTATTTGTGCTAATCTAACTTTAATTATATTGTGTTTCTTGCATTTCATCATTATAGATATGAATGATTTATCTTGCTTAGGATATGCTATGGATATTGCTCCTCGTTTGGATATTTTTCCCTATTGAACTTTACTTTTTGTAGGTACCCTGAATATGATCGCTTGCTTCCAAGTACCTTACAACATAGTCCATATCGGGTTGAACATCTTGTAGTTTCTGAGGGGGGAATTGTTCTTGACTACATTTGTAAAGCTTTGCGTCTTCCTCCTCTGTGAGTATCAATATTTTTTTCTGTTGCATCTAGTGCTATGTGCATATTTGCATACCACATTATATTCAGTATTCAGAAACTGAAGCTACTGATTAATTTCCTTTGTATTTGGAAGCTAGTGAGAGATAACTGCATATAAGCAACTTAAAGGTCTTATCTTTAGTTAGCTGAAAGTTGAATCTGATGATATTAGGAATTTTTTTATGTCATCCATAAGCTTGTGACCTTGTCCTTTGGGTAATTTCATATTTCATGTTACTGCCACTTCTCTTCTAACCATGTCTTTTCCCTTTCAATTAGATATATGTTTAGTTTCTTAATTCTCCAAAGATCTGCATCACTGTTATAAATAGCGGTAAATAGCCCCGTAATAGCGGCGCTAATAGCGTTAGCGGTCCCTTCCCGCGACGCTATCACCCACTACGCTATCGCGCAATAGCGGTGACATATTAGGGAATATGTCTGTTCGTAAAAACGGTCAATAGTGTGTCATAACGTAAATAGTGAGCGATTGCATTCGAAATTTGCTTTTTGACTCTATTTAAAAGCGGTTTAAGGCTTATTTTTTTTAAAATTAAACTCAACCCGTGACCATTGCATTCCATCGTCTCCTGTGATTTTCAGCATATTCCTGCCACCTCTCATAGACTCTGGCACCTAACTTGATACTTCTTCTCACCTCTTTTACCGTGAGCTCCTCTTAGGGCAGTCCTGTCACTGCTAAGCTTTTTTTCTCAAAGACGACGACTTTTTGACTCCTCCAGTCATCTTCGGTATTACGTGATGGTTACATTCTATTTCATGTTTAGGATCTCTTTAAATCATCCAATATGTACTTTTAGATTTCTTAGATTTTTTTAAATTTTTTTAGTATTTATACGAATTTAAATTAGACCGCTATTTGACTTTGCGATTTTACTGCTATTTTACCGCAATAGCCCGAAATAACCTTAGCGATGCCTCACCGCTACGCGACGCTATCCGCTATCGATAACCTTGATCTGCATGTGCATGGAAATATACCCAAGAGTTTTGCTTCCTAATCATTACCAGAGGGGGTTCACATGCACATGCATCTGTTCAAGGGGAAAGAGGATGTCGGTTTACAAACGACCAACTTTGTGTAATTTGTTAAGAAACAATTTTCTTAGTTTTTAAAATTCCTCCTATGTGATTTATTTTTTGAGAAAATAGCTATGATGCACGGATACGAATATAGGACACGGATACGACACGGACACGGATACGAGATACGGCAAAATCCAAAAAATAGGATACGGGGATACGACAAGGATTTTTTATTAAAATTATTATTATATATAGATGGAATGTAATATGAAAATCTTGATTTAGTGTAAATGAGTAACTTTCTCCATCAGATTTATGATAATAATATGATGTTGGGCTGCTGCTCGAACTCAAAAACCAGAGGAGATGATGATGACATTGGTGGTGGTTGTGTTGGACGGGGAGGAGGAATGGACAGTGGACTTTAGGAGTCGGAGGAAGGAGGAGTTGGTCGGCGAGATCAGGTCAGAACAGCGGAGCGGTCGGCAGGATCGGGTCGGAACAGCGGAGGTGATCGAATCGAACAGGAGTGAGCTGAGAGATTGAGAGAGAGGATTAGGGTTAGGTGTTTTTCTTTTTTTCTTTCGTTTGAGTTAGCTGAGGATCGAATCGAACGAGAGATTTGAGAAATAGGGATGAGTTTTTTAATCGAACGGTTCGGGTTGGATTTTAACAACCAAACCCGTAACCCGTAACCCGAATGAATCGGCCTTCGGCGAATCCGAGCCGCGTCCGAGCTCCTTTGATCGTGTCCGAGCCTAATTTGACCGTTGACCCGTGTCGGATACGGATTGATCATGTCCGACACGTGTCGTGCATGTATCGTGACGAATCTGTGTCCGATTCGAGTCGGACACGGATTCGTGGCCTATGAGGGCGAATCCGGAAAATAGTCTAAAGAGCACCTAGGTTTTACTCATCTTTCGTAAGAAGCCTCAACTTTCTTTTCTTTTTAACAATTAAGTCCTTACGTTTTGCCCTCTCTTCTTGGAGGTTCCCAGCTTTCTTTTCTTGACAAGGGAGTCCTTAAGTTTTAATCCTCTTTTTTGAGAAGGCCCTAGTTTTTCTTTTTAACTTTAGGATTTTTATTGTTAAAACAAGCTAGGTTTTACTCATCTTTCCAGCCTCAACTTTCGTTTCTTTTTAACAACAAAGCCCTTAAGTTTTGCCTCTTTCTTCTTAGAGGTTTCCAACTTTCTTTTCTTGACAATGAAACCCTTAAGGTTTAGCCCTCTTTTCTAAGAAGCCCCCAGCTATTCTTTTTAATTTAGGGGCATAGTTACATGGTTTGCAATACGTAGCGAGTCGTCATATGAATTCGGGAACGCAATTCGAGACTTTGAAATTTTGGATTCAATGGGGGGTAGCTGGCTTCGATACGCAAGTTCGATATAGGGTATGGTGTAATTTTTTTGGGTATGTTTATCATTTTTCAAAGTGTATAGTAGAAAGTTAGAAACTAGAAAACTAATTATGTGTTTCAATATTTTTCCCATATAAAATTCTTCAATACTTCATTTTTAAAGTTTCTGAATACATAAACTAAAAACACTAGAAAACTAATTATGTGTTTCAATTCTTTTTTTTCTTTTTTCTATTCTTTATAGTTCATTTTTAATAAAAAAAATCATTTTCACATAGTTTTTACTGAGATGATTATTTCATTTCATTTACTGAGATGATTATTTCATTTCATGTGTTATTAACATAGCTATTTTGTAAGTTGTAATAAAGTCATTCGCTCATATTGGTAATTTATTATCTTGTCTCTATATATATTTCAGTTAAAGAAATAGTGGTATAGAATTAGTTATTAATTTTGGATAACTTCCATTTACTAAAAGAATATTTTCAATGATATTATCGAAACATATAAAAAATCATTGCCGATGTGCACGAAAATAGATTTGTAAATCAACTTTGGTACTTAGTAAGCGGTACGCTAATTTTGGGGAACTAATTCGTGTATCGGAGGGGGTCAGTTTGAAAATGTATAGGAAATCGGTTCGCATGAATTGTTCGACAGTTCGAGGGAGGTCCAGGGAATCACGCAACTATGCTTAGGGGTATTTATTGTCAAAAGAAGAAAGTTGAGGACGTCTTAGAAGGAAGGAGTAATTAGAGGCTTCATTGTCAAAGAGGGGCAAAACTTAAGGGTTTCCTTGTAAAAAAAAGGAAAAAAGAAAAAAAGTTGAGAGCTTCTTAGAAAAGAAGAGTAAAACCTAGGGGCTATTTAGACTATCTTAGAAAAGAAAGATAACTGCTGGCTTCTAAGAAAAGAGAGGCAAAACTTAAGGGATCACTAGACTATCTTCTGATTTTTTTCTTTTTTCAGGAGAAGATTCCAATATTAACTCGTTTGCTGATTAATATAGAAAA